CCATAGCTGAAGGCCTGAAACATCCTACCCCCAGGGCAGAAGTCCATAACCCACCACCCTGCTGCAAGGCAGAGGTTCCAAGCGTCTCCTCTCCCTCCCCTGGTCTGGTAGGTGGAGAAGGAAGGGGCTCCACGTAAAAAAGCCACGTGTGGCCCCCAAGCCACCGTGTGGCCACACCTGCCCTGGAGAGATGCCTTAGAGAGCTGTCTGCCCCTGATTTAAAGGGAAGGCCTGATTCTCATTTACACCAAGGTCTCTTTCCTGCAGGAGCAGAGATGGAATTTTCGCCGGCTTCCAGACCCCTTTATCCTGCCGGCGGCTTTAGCGTCAAGGGGAGTCACCCAGAGACTGTACGTCCGACGGAACGCCTCCGCCCCGAACCATCTGTGGCACGGAAGGCAATGGGAGAGTCCACCGATGCGAGCGGAATGGGTACCGCGCGAGTCCAAGGGGAGGGAAGCCAAGGCTGCTATGCGACCGGGCGGCTGTCCACAGTGCTTCATTTCGAGTGGAAGAGGCGTTGGGGCTCAAACGTGTGTTTTTCATTCGTAACTGATGCAGCAAGCCGGGCGGGGCCAGAGCTAAGAACGGCCAAGCCTGCACTGGCATTCCAACTCTGCCATTCGACTGCGGGGCAAAAAGCCACGCCAGGCCCTTGAGCAAGGTTGGGGGGGCTGGCTCTGAGCCCCCGGAAGGGGCGGGGCCTTGGGCGGGAGGGGCGGGGCCTGGGTCCCCCCAGTGGTTGTGGAAGTGCCCTGCGTTTTGCATCCTCCTTTTGCTCAGGCTTGAACTTGCCTTTCGTTTGACAGAGCTAATTAAGGAGGAATCCGCGCTCCGACTCCTACATGCAGCCCCGATGCGGCGCGCACTCTTCTGCTGCTGTCGGTGCAGCATATCAAAGGCTGCAGTGCACAGCCTGGGTTAAAGCAGAGCTCTACAACTGTAGCCTACACCAGAGGTGGGGAATCTCAGGCCCGGGGACCGGATGCAGCCCTCGGCTTTCCTACATCTGGCCCCCTAGACTCAGGATCCACCCCCCAGCACTGGGGAACCCATCCTGGTCCTCCAGCCCCCCTGCTGTCCCCTTGGAGGCTGGAGCACACAAAATCTACTAGGCTGGGCCCCCCTAGACTCTGGTGTGCAAGGGACATGTGGGGAGTGTCTTTCTCCTCAGTCAGGGGCCACAGTGAGGGTTTTTTCTGCTTCTCACTTGTGTGAGGCCCCCGACTGATTTTTCTGTGGGTCAGTGGCCCCTGACCCAAAAAGGTTCCCCACCCCTGGCCGACACCTGGCTTTGGTTTGTTTGCAGAATAAATCCAAGCCCCTTAAACACCTCTTCTTCCCCCTGCCCAATCGTCCCCTTGAATCTTGTCACATTTAATGCTGATCTTCAAGCTATTTACTCATTATAAGATCTTTGTGGGTAAAATTCCACACACAGCACCACAAGGGGTCTTCTGGAGGGGGGTGGAATTTCGTCCTTAATCAGTTGGGGGAGTCACCACTAAAGAAATAGGCTAACTCCTGCAGAAGAGCTCAAAAGCACTTCACAACAATTCTTTAACCACCACAACACTCCTGTGAGGTAAGAAAACATTTTACTCCCCAGTTCATATATTGGGAAACTGAGGCACAAAGCAGCTATATGTTGAATTTGGTAAAAGCAGAGCCCCGCACGAAATCCAGCAGACCCAGCTTCTAGTTGCCCGGTCTACTTAATAGACCACACTGCCCTGGTATAAAGAGCCACAAGAAGAAGTAGTTCAGTGTGGCCAGTGAAAAACGTGACTTACCGCGCTGCTACAGGGAATGTCCTTGACTTTAAGCCAAGCCAGATCTAAGGTTCCCTCTCCCCTGTAGCAAGACCGAAGCCTTTCTTTGATGCGGTCGTTGATCTTCTTTAGGATGAAGATGCACAGAGCCGACTCATCCAAAGACTTCATTTTCCTCTTCTGCCCCTTGGAGAAGACCGTGAAAAGGATATCATCGTCTGGGCTGACACCCAAGGATCTGGCCAGGATGGCGCCCGCCTTGGATAAATAGGCCGCTTGGAGAAGCCGGTACTCCACCCCGTTCTTCTCACAACCAATAGGCACCTCGACGTAGGAGTTGAAGGCCGTGTCCTCCTTGCAGAGCCGGACCAGCTTGGAGGTGTAGACTTGCTCCTTGGTGGTGGAGCCAGGTGGGGAGATCATCTCCGGCTGCAAGGTCAGAAAGTAGACGAAGTTGCCACTGCTGAAGCCATAGATGTAGTAGATGTCGAAGTCAGGGATTATGGTGAACGTGTCTGAGGGGATTTTGATCATGGAGGCCACAAACTCATCATGGAAGACGTAGGCGAACATTCCATCCGCCTCAGAGTTCTTGGTGAGCTTCCTGCTGGAGATGGTGGGGAAGTACTCGGGCTTGCCGTCCACGGCTGTGGCGATGAACAGCTTGTCGTCCATGTTGCTGTAAGAAACAATGACTCCGAAAACAGCGCCGCTCTCGTTTACCCCAGAGAGGTAATGCTCCTTCTTATGGAAGGGCTCCCCCAGCTTGAAGAGGTCGTCCAGCCTCAGCAGCTTGCAAATCCCCTGGTAAAGGCTCCCACAGGCTATCAGCCTCTTCTCCTTTTTGTCTATGAGGAGCATCTTGTTGATATTGTTAGTGAGAGTCAAGGGTTCGTTGCAAGTCTGGACAATCCGGGGAGGATAGCACTTTGGGTTATCCTCATCTGGACCAGTTTGGTGGGTCACCTCAACTTTCAGGTCACTGGAGAGTTTGTAGATCCTGTTGACGGCCCCCAAGTAAATGTACCCGGTTTTCTCATCGACCACCAAGTGGTTAAAAGTCCCCTCTGCTGGCTCCCCGGGGAAAGTGGCAAAGGGCCTCTTTGGATGAGGCAACGGTTGCCTAGCGAGGGACGACGTTATAGTAAATAGGAGAAGGTGGCAAAGCAAGCAAGTCCATTTCCACATGGCTGCCAACATGGTTAGAAAGTTTTGTATTCCCAAGGGAGTGAGGATTTTCAAAGCACCAATCCCTTAGCAGATCTTGTCCTACAAGCAAAGGGAGAAGGAAACAAAAAGTATATTACCATGGAGTATTTTCTCCTCCGTCCTTCAAAACCATGCTGTCTTCAGAGTATAGTTAATTGCTAGTCCCCCTTTCCTATCTTTGATATCTCTCTATAAATCCAGCACAAAGGAACTCTTCTGGTAAGATTCTGGCAGAAACAGGCTTGCCAGACGCTTTCAACAAAAATCCCGAACATGGCAAATTCGGGTGAGCCAAAAAAAGGGGGGGATGTTGGGGAAGGGAGACCAAAGTTGTTGAGCAAAACAAACAAACAAAAAAGAGAGGAGGGCCCAAGTTGCTGAGAAAAAAAAAAAAAAAGGTCATTGAGCTTTTAAATGGCTCTGCGCTCCGCACTCCCCTGCGAGACGCGGCAAGGGAAAACTGTCTCCGCCGGGCTTCTGAAATAGGAAATACTGGACATTTCACATGTCCGGTATTTTCTGGGTTTTTTTAAGGGACGGGGAGCCAAATACCAAACAGTCCAGGTGAAAACCGGACACCTGGCAACCCCAGACAGAAATCTCATGCCACATGAATAACCACCCATGCGCCCATCACAACACAGCAGAGAAATACACTGGAGGTAAGCATACTGGTACAGGGTCACACTTATTGACTAGATTTGCATTACAACGCCTTGACTTTGATTGGGGTCCCATTGTGATAGGTACTGTACAGACAAATCATTCCCATACTAGAGTTTACAATCCAGACAGACAAGACAGAATGACGACTTATCCCCCGATGGGGCACTTGAGTTGAAGAGAGATTTAGTGGCTTACCCAAGGAATGGGTGGCAGAGGTGCAAATTAGACTCAAATCTTCAGTAGCCACGTTCAGTGTCTTAACTACGAGACTATCCCTTTCTCTCCCAGGGCACTTCCCCTAAAGAAGATTGACACTTCAGAGGTGGATCTTTTAGCATTTGATTTAGCATGTCTAGCGTAGACCTGTAAATTGAATGCTGAGGGCAGCCCCTGCTGGCGTCCGGTACTCCTCCTTCCACGAGGAGTAAGAGAAGTCGGCAGGAGCAAACAATTGCTTCCATCAGCCTCCTGCTGTGTGGATGCTGCCACGGCTCAGCTTAAGTTAATCCGATTCCAGCTACCTTAAGCTGACCTGCCTGGTCTAGTATAGACCAGACCTGAGAGAGAAGAAACGTCGCCTCTTAACTAGAAGTAACTAATAGAGTCAGTGTTCTTATCACTTCTCCAGGAGCTGTTCTACTTTGTGTAAATTAAATATTCATTGGACCAGAGAGGAGAAAGCCAGAAAGAGACACTGACTCTATAGCCTGGTGGGGTGGGTCAGGAGATAGGATGCCTAGGTTTAAGTCCTTGCTGCACATCTGATAGGGCAGAGACTTTTTTCTGCACCAGAATAAAACCAAAACTTTGAAATCTTGAAACGTTTCATGAAACAAAAACTACTTCCGGCTCAGCCCTCATGGGAACCCCAACCATTCCCTGTCTCCCCTTTGGGCTGCAGTTTTCATTGCAATCAGATGGCACAGACTGGCATGCGGTGTGTTTGCTAACCTGTCTATGCATGTAAAGGGGTTCTCAATACCATTGTCCCCCCTCACTGTCAATGCTGAATGGTGCTTTAACTGTGTCGGTTTAAAGAGACAGCTGTAAGTGGGCATCGATTTTAAACTCCTCGCTACGTTCCCCTCTTTGCCCCAAGACAATGCCCACATTTGAGTTATATTGAAATAACCCCCCATATTTCGAAATAAGCAGTGGAGCGTCCACACTTCCAAGCCTGAATTTCGAAATAATAGGCTGTTTATTGCAAAATCTGTACTCCTGCGTTCCTCGGGAAATAACACTTATTTCAAAATTGTTATTTCAAAATAGCATTAGTGTGGATGCTCCACTGCTACTATTTCGAAATAGCTACTCCCCAGAGTCATTCAAAGTAATTACTCACCAGTACTTCCTGGGGCTACATCTACACTACAGGGTTTTTCAGCAAAAACAGAGGTTTTTGCGCAAAAACCTGCGGCGCGTCCCCACCTCAAGTGTGTTTTTGCGCAAGTAAATTTACAGAAAATCAAAAGAACACAGGGGGGGGTTGCAGTGTAGATACTCCTCTTTCTATGAGGCATAATTCCTTTTTGCGCAAGAGCTCCTGCGCAAAAAGGTGTGTGTGGAAGGGCAACAGGGGTGTTTTGCCCAAAAAGAGCCAATAAAAAAAGCACAGGTGCTTTGGAGGCTATTCTGTAAATAGCAATCAGAGCTTTCTTTCAAGAGAGCGTCCATGCAGTCTGGACACTCTCTTGCGCAAAAGCGCATCACTTTTACAGTGTGGACGCACTCCTGCGCAAGACATTTTTGCGGAAGTTCTCTTCTTCAAAAAGCTTCTTGCGCAATAAGCCTGCAGTGTAGATCTAGCTTAAGACAAGGTAGCACATCCACAATAACAGAGCCTGCCTCAGACTAATTTTGAGGCTCTTCCATAGTGGGGACAGGCCATTTCAATTTTGTTATTTCGGGAGTAGTTATTTCCAATTTAGTTATTTTGAAATAATTTCCTAGTGTAGACATGCCCAGGTAGAATAATGAGTCTGCTCTATAGCCTGAGCTGAGAGCCAGCTGGCTTTTAGTTCATGAGGTAGAGACTCATGCATTAAGAGCTGGAGCTCCCAAGTCCAATTCTGCCCCCCAGAATCCTGCGTTCCAGCTGCATTTGACACACACTGGGAAGAAGTCATTTTGAGTTGACTTGCGGCATGTTTACTTTACATGTCTGCTTTGGCCTTCTGGTCAAACAAATATTTGTTTTTACAAAAAATCAAGTTTACAAAGTTCAAGTGACTCCTACTCTCTCTCTCTCATCAATGAGAAAGAGTTTTCTTTGCAGCAGGCCAGTCACACAGGGCTTCTAATAATTTGTATTATGATGGAGAGCGTAGTGACAGGATGAGTTGTCCCTGCACAGCGATCCCTCTTCAGCTGCGGTCTCAAGGGTGGGCTCTTTCAAAAGGAGAAAGCTTGGCCCAGTGTTCTGACACGTCACACGACGCCCCTGAGAACTAGCTCTTGTCACTAATCTGTGGGTCTAGAATGGGAGCGCTAGGAAGACACAACGCGAAAAGATTTGTTAAGGGAAGTTTTTAATACTTTTGGCCTCTCTCGGCCCTGCAAAGTCAGCACCGCTACAGGAAAGGGAAACAGGTTCTATGGTGGCTTATGCATCAAGCATCACACTGTTAACCAAAGCCCCAGTGATCTACATACACAGAACTCATAGCGGGGACAGAAGCCTGAGGTCCAAAAGCAAAGGAAAATTCATCCCATGGTAGCAGCTGTGTAACCCAACTGGAAAGAGCTTGGCTACACAGGGGTTATGGAGGACACGTCCCAGCCTGTAGAATCTGGGAGCACAGGCCGGAGAGACTCCAGCTTGACTTTCAGACCCCACAAATATGGGTTACAGAGTATAACATGCTAGCAGAACAGCCAGACCCATGGGGAAAAGCCTTCCCATACAAGGAGAAGTCTGACAAGTGCCAGTCCTGTCAGTCACAGCTCCTGGCCCAAGATGTTCATCACCTAAACAGATGGACCAAAAACCCCACCCAGAGCAAACTGGACAGGGATAGGTTCTGTCTTAGAATCATAGAATACTAGGACTGGAAGGGACCTCGAGAGGTCCTCGAGTCCAGTCCCCTGCCCTCATGGCAGGACCAAATACTGTCTAGACCATCCCTGATAGACATTTCATAGAATCATAGAATCATAGAATAATAGGACTGGAAGGGACCTCAAGAGGTCATCGAGTCCAGCCCCCCACCCTTCTACACTATCCCTGACAGATGTCTATCTAACCTGTTCTTAAATATCTCCAGAGAGGGAGATTCCACCACCTCCCTTGGCAATTTATTCCAATATTTGACCACCCTGACAGTTAGGATTTTTTTCCTAATGTCCAATCTAAACCTCCCTTGCTGCACTTTAAGCCCATTACTCCTTGTCCTGTCCTCAGAAACCAAGAGGAACAAATTTTCTCCTTCCTCCTTGTGACACCCTTTTAGATATTTGAAAACCGCTATCATGTCCCCCCTTAATCTTCTTTTTTCCAAACTAAACAAGCCCAGTTCATGAAGCCTGGCTTCATAGGTCAACCTACTGGGGGATTCCACAACCTCCCTGGGCAATTTATTCCAGTGTTTGACCACCCTGACAGTTAGGAACTTTTTCCTAATGTCCAACCTAAACCTCCCTTGCTGCAGTTTAAGCCCATTGCTTCTTGTTCTATCCTCAGAGGCCAAGATGAACAAGTTTTCTCCCTCCTCCTTATGACACCCTTTTAGATATCTGAAAACTGCTATCATGTCCCCCCTCAATCTTCTCTTTTCTAAACTAAACAAACCCAATTCCTTCAGCCTTCCCTCATAGGTCATGTTCTCTAGATTTTTAGTCATTCTCGTTGCTCTTCTCTGGACCCTCTCCAATTTCTCCACATCTTCAAATGTGGTGCCCAGAACTGGACACAATACTCCAATTGATGCCTAACCAGCGCAGAGTAGAGCAGAAGAATGACTTCTCGTGTCTTGCTCACAACACATCCCAGAATCATGTTTGCTTTCTTTGCAACAGCATCACACTGCTGGCTCGTGTTTAACTTGTGGTCCACTATAACCCCTAGATCCCTTTCTGCCGTACTCCTTCCTAGACCGTCGCTTCCCATTCTATATGTGTGAAACTGATTGTTCCTTCCTAAGTGGAGGTTTGGTGGTTTTCTGCATTGGAGTGTGAGTGGCCAGGCAAGGCTTGAGGGTTTGAGAGATTCATAAAACAAAGGAGTGTTGACAAGGGCAAGCTCCTGATGTACAGAGACAGAGGGAGTTCTAGACATAAGGGCACCGTAGCTGGAAGCACTCAGCAGAGAAAGGTTTTACTTGTGACTGCCACTGAGCGGCTGTGTGATTTTGGGCACATCCCCTCACCCTTCCGCTTCTCCTTCCATCGTCTGT